TCTATCTTCAAATAAACTTGGGAAATAACAAAGGTAAACTGTTCTTGTTGGTAGATGGAGAGTCTGTGCTAAAAATACCCAACTGGATGTATTCTTCACATACTTTTCCAATGTCATCTGACCATAAGGCTCTTCCTCATGAATATCTTGGGGGCCTGTATTCTTCAGAAAATAATTTGAGAAACACTGGACCCTACTGAACTCAACAATCCTGGGTTCAAGTTTTAATTCCAGTAATTCCTTATTGTATTATCTGTCAGTTTTCTCTGTAAAATAATGCCTGCCTCCTGACCCACTGAAGATTATTGTTAGAGTCAAATGTGGACACCTTCTGCAAACTCAAAGGCAACACACATGAGTAAAATGCTTTTACAATACCTCACATTACAGGTAAGGTAAATCCACCAGGGTCATTACACAGACTACTATTAATAAAATAAAAGGAGACAACTGTGAGTTGTCAGGGCTTTCTTTGGTGGTCTAACCCAAAGAACAATGGCAAAAATAGTTAAAGGAAAAAGTACATTCAGCATTTATTAAGCTCCCACACTGGCAAGACACTATTATGGTCTGTATGAACTTGGGCACTTCTTGTTACTATCAATTTTATAACAATGTTTCTAAAAACAAAATCTAGAGAACCTCAGTATACCCAGTGGTCTATTTTCTTTTTTTAGGTTATCATCAAGCATCAGATCAATCTGATCAATCAGATTCAATCTGATCTTCCTGTATGTACCACTGCAACTCAAATTATTTAGTTTGATGATTCCATCCTAATGTAACCATGAGTGAAATTACTATAAGCACTTAGTGGTAAGGTTATACAAACTGACACCTGATAGGCCTTTTAAGCTAACAGCCTTGTGGATCAAAGGCTTGGTTTTTGTTTAACAATGTGAACAAAACATTTAACATTACAGTAGGGTAAGACAGCATGTATAAAACAATACTGGTTCCAATAACTCTAAGAAAACTTTACAAAGTAGGGAAAAGTCAATTGATTGTGAGATCTGAATCCTTTTTATCTGCCTTTCGTGAGAAAACTACAATTATTTATCTTTGATTAAACAAGTGGTTTCTAGACTTATCTGGACTTTTATGGCACAGTAAAATTCTCCAAGGGTGAGAATAAGATACCATTTTATGCAGCTTGCATACCCTCAGATTAAAAATCAGCCTGAAAACAGAAGCCATTTAACATCCTAACCTCATAAACACTGAAGATGACTTTTAAAAAACCCTTTATAATATAGTACTAAAACTCGTCAAGTAATTTCGCTTCCCCAGCAATAAGGTGTCCAACATGCATTGACAAGGAGCTTGAAAGTCGAAGTGGTCACACTCTGGATCAGTTTGCAAAATCACACTTCAAAAACTACTCAAGTTAAAATGTGAGCTCCAGAGCATTAAGCAGTAGGGTTATTCAACTGGTATCCACTTGCGTAAGTATTAGACTAAGAACCACTGCAGATGACATACATCTGTCCCCAAAAGGGACAAAATCATCTTTTCTTACCACCTTCAAATTGTGTTACTGCTACTTGCAGTAGAAAGTCCAAGTTACTGTTTAAATGATAAATTTGTTCACTAACCATTCAAATCTAAATATAAAATGATTTAAAAAGCTGAACAAGGGTCTTTCTAGGCTTAAAGTTTATTTCACTCTAAACAGCTACACTTGAACCCCACACTTTGGAGTCCAATATTTCTTCTCTAATGCCTACCGAAAATAACACTAGATTAGTAAGAAAGCAATAAAAAATAGCTCCAACAAATGAAAGGTTACTTTTATTATCTAGTGTTTCAAGTATGTGTCTGATTTGGTTGGTGTTAATCTCAATCAAACTCTTTTCCTCCTGATCTTGGGATGTCGGTGAGAAATAAACCATGAGAGTACCCTCAGATGAAAGATGACACTATCATCACAAAGTCCAGAGAGCTTAGTTTCAGGAAATTAAAACTTCTTACTCAAAATGGCTAATAAGAAAAATTATCTCGAGTAAGGTGTCCAGGTAGGGTGTATTGTTGGAGCTTTTGCTTTGCTTTCCTGATTCTCCTGGCTCTGCCCTCCAAAGTATTGGCTTAATTGTCAGGTTGTGGAATGACCAAATTCTGTCACATCTAGATAATGCCATGCTAAAAGAACAGAACTGCCTCTCCTTTTAGCTTATTTTTAAGAAGTCCCCAATATGTCACTGGCTCAAATTCTGTCACATCTAGATAATGCCATGCTAAAAGAACAGAACTGCATCTCCTTTTAGCTTATTTTTAAGAAGTCCCCAATATGTCATTGGCTCAAATTGGACAAGTCCATTGACGATGTCCATCACTAAACTGAATTAGCATGTCTTACCAATACTCAACCCTGATAGGCAAGAATAAAGTCAGTTTTCCTTGAAGCACTATAGATGCAGGGAGTTGGAAGACTTGAAAATTTGGTTTCTGTTGTGAAGGATAAGACAGTAGTATAATGAAACAACACTATTCAGTATGGAAGCAAAGGGCAAGATGGCTCCTTTTCTTTTCTTGCTTGTCTGTCTCAGTAGAGGACAGACATCATTAGTAGCTTATTTCTTTTAAAAACATGAGAATCAATGTACATAAGTCTCCACAACACTACTCTAAATTTGAGATTATAGAGTATCAAGCCTCAAGGAATCAGGCTTTGGAGACAACCCATGAATGCAGTGATTATCTTGTCAAAGGTAAAGAAGCCTCAGAAGTCATTCTACAAGTAAACAAGGATCAGGTGATAATTTGCTATTAGTTTCTCAGCTAACAGATATAATAAATGCAAAAGAGGTATTACAGAACACAACGTAACTGCCATAGAATGGCAAAAACACTACTTTGTGGAAAAAGAACACTTACAGGACTTAAAGGATTTTGAATTAGTCTTAAACTAAGACAGTATGTAAAGTTCATAAACAACTGATTTGTGGCTTTAGGAATATGAATTAGGGCAGAGGGAAGGAATATAGTTAAGGATATTAAATTCCAACCAAGAAGTATATTCTGTGGAAGAAGGAAGACATTGGTTTAGAGAAATTTTGTAGGAATGCCTAGGTAGCAGTAAGTTGGCTCTTCTTGCCAAGTATCTTAGTTGTTATAATCTACTTTCTTGTTTTACTAAAAACACTGAAGCTAGGTTTTTAAAAATATTTATGTTGCTTAGGTTATACTCAAATTGAAGTGTATTTTCACCGACTTTAAAATATTTTCTTATATAAATCAGATCTCTATTTCTTCATCTTCATTTTGTTTTCACTTTCAACATAGGAGGCTTAGGTGTGCTATCACTATGAAAATGTATCACTTACTTTTAAAAGTATTACACAGACAAGTGATTTCACTAATGGCCAAAATACTGGCATATAAAACTTACAGTAAACACTTATTTTTTTAAAAAGGGAATATTAGGGCTTGGGATGTAACAGGTATGCCACTTAACCTGGTATGCATGAGACCCCGAGTTCAAGCTCCAGTTACACCCAAAAAAGTTTCAAATAAAAACAAAAGCTGCCAGATATGTAATATGATATACCTATACCTGCAAGGATGTCCAAATTTTACCTTTAGAATTATACAATCACTAACAGCACTCATTTAAATCTCAAACCAAATGAGTAAAAGACCCAAACCAAAAATTTTTAAGAACTGTTGGAAACTATGAAAATGAATTAGAATGTCCTAAAATGAGTTAAAAGGTTTGTTCAAAATGATTATTCCATATCTAAGTCCAGCATTATGCCTGTTACGCACTGGATTTAAGGACACAACTTGAGAGAAAACTGCTTTCAAAAGTATCATGTATGCAGTAACTAACATTAAGATATTGCAAAATACTGAATAATTATGGTATTTCTGAAATGTTATTTCTATTCAAATAGCATTGGTTGCTATATTCTGATAGAAGATTTTAAAACCAAAATAGACTGAATTTACAGTATTCTTACTGAAAAATGACGATTTAGAAAGAGAACTGGATTCACATTCTACTAATTTCTACCATAACTCGAGACTATTGAAAGATGCTTACCTGTCTTATATGTAAGGACTAAATGAATAAACACAGGAAAAACTTAACAAAGTTCCAAAAGGTACTGTGAGTACTAGAGTAGCTATTAGACTTATCCAAAATCTTCATGAAGACTTCTCCCAGTTTTGCTGGTAATCATTAACAATGTGTGGCCAAATACTGCATTTTTCCACTAAGACCAGTTTTTGTAATACTTCAGTGGCAGAGATGATTATGGAGGGAATGTTTAATTAATGACTATTATTTTCCTCAATCAACTAACAGAAAAGACCTTTTTTGATTAAACATATATAAAGTACATGTATAGCGACACAACTATTCATCGAAACACTGTTAAATATAAAGCAATTAAGCAATTAACTAGAAATCAAACTGGTCTTTGGCATTAGTGCTTAGAAAAGTTTATTTTGCACTCAGAATATTTTTCTAAGGCATGGCAAATTACACATCCAAACTTCTCAATGGTAGGAATATTTAATATTCTGAATGCAGGCCTTTAAAAAAATTTGTACGTTATGATACTGAAAGTCTAATGGATTCACACAGAAAGAGAACCTAAAAAGGGGCAGAACATCATCTATTACATAATGGTTAGTTTATGGTTTTTCCCTTCGTTGCAGCAAATATGGTCGTTCATCACACCCTCCCCTGTTGTAAGGTGAAAACTATTTATTTCATCTTGCTGATACCCACATGTGAAATACCACATATTATTAGTAATCAATAACAAAATAGGAAATTTGTCTTTTTTAAAAACATGAAAATGTTATGATTTTAAAACATCAGGCATTTACTGACTGAAAAATCAATTAAGTACTCTCAGTGTGAGAACAAAGATAATGTTGAAAATATACAGATGATGTTTTTTCCTGAGTAGAATGCAAACTTTTATTTTATATCAAATTAAGCTCTGAATTTCCAAAATATACAAAGCTTTTCAATATCAAATAAAAAATCAGGAATACCCATCTTCACAATTAAAAAAAAAAAGGCAAAGAAAAATTCAAGACAAGGTTCAATAATAATGTAAAATCTGGAATGGATGGCCAAAATCTTAACAGTTCAATTAGTTGGTTCTCTCAGTTCAGTTTCAAACACACACAAAAATAGTATATACCAACAGCAAATTTAACAGTCATACTTTTCCTATCATCCAATTTAAAAAAATGTAACCTAAGACAAAAAACACAAGCCATACACTTAACTAGAGACCAAAAAGGGTAATCAACCTTTACAGGAATCCCGAGAATACCATGGACTTACAAAACCTGCCTAAATCAGTAGTTATGTCCTGTTATATCATGTGTAGAAAACTATAATTAAAGCAAGAGAGTTTTTATTAGTTGCATAATCTAAAATCTATGAGGAAATTTTTAACTCTACCTCTAAAGACCACAGTTTCAATTGAAGTACAAATTTCTTGAGACAGTGGGGGCAAAGTTCCCATTTATGGGAAATATGTTCTTTTTTTTCACACAGTGAAACTGAGAAAAATCATATCAAATGAGAAATCTTTTTCTCTAAAGTAATCTTCTTAAACACCCCAGAGTAATGCAAATCTTGGGAAATATAATTTTTCATCTCAGACTTGAAACAGATTACCATTAATAAACATAACACAAGTCTTACTGCTTGGCACCAGATTTTCTAAAATTATTGTTTAAACCGCCACATGTTTATAAATCATAAATTCCACACTTTTATAGTTGCTTTTATTTTCTGAATGAAAACTGTTCAATCTATGATCACTTACACTGAGCCCTGCAAAATACAAGCAAGTCACAGTTCACTTCAAAACAAATGATCGATCTTTTGCTTTTGTCAAAACTGTAGTATTAAGGTATCTGTAAAAATTAACTAGGATTTATCTGTAGCCAATGATGGACCCACAGAGCGTTGTCTTATGGTATTCTGTGGAAAGTCTTTGTTTGTCTCTTCTTTATTTTCTGCTTCCTCTTCTGAAACATCTTCTTCATCAGCCTCTTGTTCTTCCTCCACTTTTTTCAAAGGCTGAGAAAATTCTGGTAATGATTTTTCTTGAAGACAAAAACCAGAAATGTGTTTTTGTTGATTCTTAGATTTGCTTCAGAGTAAAATCAAGATATAATAATTCATATGCTATAAAATCCTTTTTCCAGCTATTTGTTTGGAAAGGAATAAATGAATGGGGAAAAAAACCACCAGTAGATATTATAAAAACTGAAGATCCATTTTAATTAACAAATTCATTCTAATTACCCACCTACTTACAAAATAATCTGAAATTAACAAATCAGCATTAATGCTGTGAATATTCCACATATATATAGATGTATATGTGTATACACATACACATACTCACAGTATTAAATGAAACTATTTTAATTTGCTATTAATATTTTTTCTAGTCTCGTAAATGTGCTTCTCCCATCCTTGTCTATATAACTTTATTAAGGTATAATTAAAAACAATGAAGAATATAGTTATCAGGGGACCATACATGCACACCCTAATTTACAGGGCCAGTTGCTAGTTCACTTAAGCTCGGAGCACACTATTAGTGAGACATAGGAGATGGAACTGGGCCAGAGCTTTATTGTGTTCACTGATCCCAGACTGCCCCTAATCCCAAACAACCCAGAATTGGTGGCTGGGAGTGGGAGTGTTAGTAAGAATAAACTATGGGAAGAAACTTCCAGTCACTAACAACCTGTTATTTGGTTGGCCTGGCATTCCTCTTTATGTTAGGATAACAGAATCTGCCCTATGTCTTACCCCATGTGGTTCACCAAGAGTGATAGGAATGCTTAGCAATGTATGAAGATATCTGGCTGTCACAGCCGAGGCGGCAGTGCTACTGGCAACTAAGTGGGATACGGTTGAATATTCAACTATGTAAAAAAGACTGTCCATCACAAGAGTAAAAATTATATGGCAGCAAAAGGCAATAGTGTCAAGGCTGAGAAACCCTGGTTTACAGTAATATTCCAAGAAGTGAGCCCTTTACGTACGATGACTACAACAGAATTTCTCCAAAACAGGTGGTTATAGGAAAAAAAATGGATTTCCTTCTTACTGTTAGCAAGGCTTTCTATAATCATCTCAAACTACTAACTAGAAAGAATCAAGATGAGAACAGGTAAGTAAAATTATGGAGCACGAAGCAATTCAGAAATGGCTTCCTCTACCCCCACTCAGTATTAGGGATAGAACTCAGGATCTCACCCATGCTAGGCAAGCACTCTGACCACTTGAGCTATATGCCCCAGCATTTATTTATTTATTTATTTTTGAAATAGGGTCCTGGTAACCTTGCCTGGACTGGCCTCAAACTTCTAATCCTCCTCCCTCCACCTCCTGAGTAGCTGGGATAACAGGTATGCACCACAATGCCCAGTTAACACCCAGCATCTTACAACATCATTTGCACTCCAAGGATCCAGTCAACTCTGTCCTCAGACTTTTTGTTATACAACCCAGTAAATTACTAAAATTGCTTGAAGATAAGACTGAATTGGGTTGTTTTCTCTAGCAACTCAAAATCTAAGCCAATCATATGTGCTGGAAAACAACTGCAAATATGGCCCTGCTACAGAAGGGGCAGTATCACATTAAAGTTTGGATTAATATTTGCCAGTGATGTCACTAAAGCAAACTGCACAACCACACGCAGAGTAAATACTTACTGAGTGCTTACTATATGTTACTGGGATAAAATGAGCATTACATACCTATCTTCTTTTTGAATTATTTGTAAAGGCATTTAGAAAACCCATTACTTATACCTTTCAAGCTCTACAAATTAAGAAGATGTAAATTTCTCTAATAACTTTCACTGTGGGACTTAGTAAAAGGGAGACCAACTTGAGCACCTTGATATAAATTACCTAAGTCATTAAAAAAAAAATTCCTTTCCAAGAAATAAATCTTGTAATTGCTATCATTTCCTTCAATTCAACTCTGTGAAAATTTCTAAAATTAAACCTATTCACTGTTCCTATCTCCCTCTTTTGAGAACACTTACCTCTGTAAGAGAGAACTTTGTAGAGTCAGTACTCTTAACAAATTTCTATGGCCAACAGCAAAAAACAAGCTTTTCATAGGCAGGGACATACAGATTATCCTAGTGGTAACCATTTTCTCTAAAACACTGCTTCTCAGTGGTCCTCAAACCAGTATTATCAACTTCACTTGGCAATTTGTTAGTCCCAGCCCCACCACAGAATCTCTGAATACAAAATCCAGTGCAGGGGCCAGCAATGTACTTCAACAAGTTCTCCAGGCAAGTCTAATACAGTTTCAAGTTTACACCAACTGGTAAGACAACTCAGATTCAAACACCTATATCCTCAGATAGAGAAATTAATCTATGTAGACTACCCCCCCCCAAACCCAATGTATACGCTTAGCAGATGACTTTGACAGAGATAAGAGAATCTGGCAAGTATGGCAATAATATTCATTCTATAGTGAGTGACTAAGTATGCACTTTGGTACATTTGTGGGATCCAAGGAGAATATGGTCGGTGTACTTTATATACTTGTATGAAAATAGAACATGTAACCTACTGAAGGAGGAGGGGATAAGAGAGATTGATGGTTCAGGTGAACCTAACCAAAACACAAAGTAAGCACTATGGAAATGTCACAATGAAACCCCCTTGTACAACTAATATATGCTAATAAAAATGTTAAAAAAAAAACTTCCAAAATTAAAAATGAAAATTAGCTAAATACAAAGAATAATCTTAAAATCTGGTCACTATACTAACAAATTACTTTAGGAGCGGAATATATTTGATTTTTTTTTTAATTGTTAGCTCAGGTATATTTAAGTGGATTCATGAATAACATGAAATTTTCAAATAAATTGACATCAGATCAATGTTACTAAGTATTGACAAGCTATATATAATGCTAAAATCCTCCATAGTGTTAAGAGTAAAGAAAATAATAATGTTCCAAAACCTACTGGACTACCATTCTCAGCTGAAATATGCATCTCCTCATCCTTTCTTTACACCACAGCCGTTAGAGACCACCACTCTACACTTAGTAAACTAAGCTGGAAGCGCAACACGTTTTAAGCGTGTGACTGTGTTTACAGAAATGAATAGGATTATAATGAATTAAAAAAAAAAGACATTTTAGGGCTGGGGATGTAGCTCAGTGACACAGCACTTGCCGTGCATACATGTGGCCCTGAATTTGATCCCCAGTACCACAAAACAAAATAAACACTTACTTGAAGAGTATGGCTGTGGTTTGCGCCTTTTTGAAGGACAAAGGCAATCTGCAACAAATATCATACCCTGCAAAAATAAACAGAAATCTTAATGTATAATACATGATACAATTAATATAGCTATATTACCACATTTTAAAATATTTTTCTTCCTAGTACTGTAGAGCTGAAGTACTTACAAGTCCTAATAATAGTCCTGAAAGCAGAGTCACTAAAGCAAAAACTGTGTATGAACCCCAAACTGGTAATCCAAGGTCTTCAATAAAATAGTTATGACAAGTCTGAAACCAAAAGAAAAGAAGTAAAAAATGTATTTATTTTTTAAAAAATAGTGTTAAAAATGTTTAGGATAGAAATATTTTTAGCCATACCCTGATGTACATAGACAGCCGAAAAAGTGCTGACATACTACTCATCCTAAAATAAAAAGAGATAATTAAAAAACTGAGTAAGATATACAGATTTGCCTGTATCTGCATATTCTAAATTCTGCTCTATAATTTCCCCAACATGATAGATTTTATTCTGGTGTTAATCAAAACTAGCTATGCGTCACTGACTTCATGCCTCTAATAAGGGTTGCTCATGAAAATTAACTGTTTCTGACTTGCTTCCATCATCTGATTTCCTCATAAATAAAACTTGATTTCTTTTCCTTTCCTCCCATTGCTTCAACATTCACTCTTAACTTTCGTTTGATTATTTCTCAATATACTAAGAAAGAAGTTACAAAAGCTCTATGAAATCAGCCGGAAATGGCAATTCTTATTCCCTCTTAAAATTCTCTAAAAAATGAACAAAGAAGAGAGCCTGAAGGAACTGCCAGGAGCACTTGTTGAGTGATTCTTCCAGTTAAAAATTACCTCTCAGACCAGGGATGTGCTCAGTGCTAGACCACTTGTCTATCACATGTGAGGCCATAGGTTTGGTTACCAGCACACCCCCTCCTCCACTCACCAACCACCTCTCTTTTTGTTAACAATAATTAAAATTTACAATGGTCTTAGTCTGTAACTTTTAATAACATATACATAGCTATGTAGGAAATAAATGCTAAGTTACCATGTAAGTAAAAAATTATCAAAATATTACTTTTATAAAACTAAGTACAAGTAGTCTATATGGACAGTTGAAAAATGCGCTTCAAAAAATAAGAAGGGTTTGTGGGTTCCAACCATTTCCTTCTAGCAAGAAGTACAACTGGTACTGCCAGGAAGTTTTTGATACAAAGGTCAGGGATAGCTTGATCCAACTGCCCTGCTGGGCTGACATTGTGAGTGCCCCCTGTTCAGTCTACCAACTAAAAAGGGATGGGTTATTTATATGAGGATTCAACAGAAACATAAACAATCACCTTCTTCTAACAGAGGTTAGATTTAATTAGATTTTAAAAAACAAAAATCAGTTATTTTAAGGTCAACACGGAAAAGTACTTTAATCACGTTGTTCCTGCTGTTTAAAAGGCCAAGTGGGAATAGCAATAAGGAACTGAAACATACAACACTATGTTTCAACACTATGCAGCCTCACAGTAGTCTACACTGATTAAACTCTATTAGAAATACTAGGTTCCACAACTGGGTTGGAACCCAACTGGGTGGTGCAGTGGGTGAGCTCTGACAAAGTAAAGAACAATTCAGAGGTTTTGTCAGGAAAAGACAAAAAAGGGAAAGATATTCTACTTCAAAATACTGCTCAGAAGTGACTTTTCCCCCACTCCCAGAACACAGAGCATTTATCTATTATATGGTTGGTGTCATCGTCTAAGGGCAAGTACAGTGAGAGGGCAGAAATAGCTTAGTCACCCCCAGAATGAGGCCATGATGACTGCAAAACTATTTCAAAGTCTTTAATGACCAGCTAGGCCTTATACACCAACTGTGTAGCAGGAAACATACTTGCCATTCCCAGTCCTAAGTGCTATGGAGAAATCTATCTACCTTCTACCTACCTTATAAACTCAACAATCACATCAGTCAGTTTTCAGACACACCATTCATACAAGTTACCAGACAGTGGAATTAAACAAACATAATTTAATCACTTTAACAACTAAAGCCTAATGGTAAATGTGAGTCCTCTCATTCAAATTATTATGCCCAACCAATAGCTTTACCCATTACATAGCTCAGTCTTTTAGTTTTTTAATGAGATATATATATATATACAAAGCTAAAACATTCCTTTAAAGGCACTGAAGTCGATTTTATAGAATGCCTCTTCCTAGCTTAACAAGCACAAAGCTATGTTTGATTCAGAAGGTCAAACTAAAAATAGCAAACACACAAAAATCTGAATATATTTCAAGAGCCCAAGAAAAAGCACACACAATTTACATGAACTATAATTATTTGTTCCAACTAATTCTGAAGTAAATAAGAGAAAAATCCCTTATACTTACAGAACAGAACCTGGACCAAACCATGATGAAACTGGTTCAATACTCTTCCACTCTTTTTCACTTATGAAGTTTATGAAGTCCTTCTTAGTCCGTGGACCCTGATAGCGCCTAAATTCACCATCTTTACAACTAAAGATCAGAATTAAGTATTAAATAGCACTAAGAAATAATTTTTATATTTATTATTTCTTCACCTCACTCTGTTGCTATTCCTTCGAGTAATAAAACTACGAAACACAGTAAGATAAATGTCAAAAAACTACTTGTAAGCCTATGTGTAGTACTACTATATGAAGTTACTAGAATCATTGCTAACAGTTATTTTTGAACTGTTAGCTAAAATTTTAAAGTATTTTTCAGGTACTTTCAGTCATCATCTCACCATCTCACCCATTCTGCTTTAAACTGCTGGAGGCATCTGGTACCATACTTCTTCCCAGGGATTTCAGTGGTTCTATTCAGTCAACTCTGCACTCTTCCCTCCACCCACCTCCTACTTCCCATTTCCACGTATGGAGTCTGGCAAGTTATGAATGCTCTCTCAGCTCCCACAGCTTCAAGTGCAAAAATACAGTAGCATCCTGCTACCTACAACAGCATTAGGGGAACCTTTATCCATCAGAGCAAGACAAGAAAGCCCCTATTCAAAAAGAAATTTTGAAGAGGTGACATTTGAACTGTTCTTTGATGGAGGAGTAAGATTTCAGGAAGCAGAAATTAGGACAAAGGCAAGATAAACAACATGACTAAAGAAAAAAGGGCAGGAAATAGCAGACAAGTTCAGGGGGCACTGAATAGTGAAAAAAGGAGACATTATAGTCAGCTAAGGGGCATGTGGGGAAAAACACTGAGTGAAAAGGGAGATGAGCACTTAAGGAAACAGAGAATAGAAATTTTAATAGACACAAAAGGAGTAGGGGTGAATTTTTAAAAAGCAGAAAAATGAACAAAGAAAAGCAAGATACAGACATACACAAGGAACTGCCAACTCATTTTCAAGATGCTAAGTAAGGAAAGAAGTACCTCTTGGCCTTAAGACTACCAGCTAATTACATTAAGGTACAGTACAGACAGATTTGCGATTTCCTACCTCTAGTTTAGAAGACAGTCAAAATAAACGAGTTGATACTGCAGGTGTTAATATATAATCTCGTTTATTCTGACTTACACAACAGTGTCACATATTACTCTCCCTAAGATGTGCAACAGCCCTTTCTGGCCAATTTTTAAACATACCATGTTTCTAACCATCTTCAGAATGGAATGCTTACCGCCCCCCCCCAAATTCCTATGGTACTCACTACTACTCAACAGGATAACACCATTTCACAGGAACATCACCTTCCAAAACAACTGCATTTATCACTGTCTATTTAAAGGAACTTAGGTTACCAGTAAGAGCAGAACAAGCTCTCTAAAATTCTTGCTGAATATGAGATTACATCAGCTCTTCAACAGGATCCAAGATGATTACGCCATGGTGCATCTTTCCCCATAACTGAGAATCTTCAAATACTTACTGATAAATAGTAGGAAGAGCAGTTATAATAAACCGTCCACTTAGTCCTACAAATGATAACGAACACAAAGCAGGTTTTATGTGGCTCAATTGCTGACTACTTAAAGGTTGATTTTGAATTATTTAAATGTTAACAAGAACATGAAAATACCTAAAATAGTTATCTTTGCAATAATGAAAATATGAATTATGTACATAGAGCAACTTAAAATATTGCTGCATATATGCCAATTAAAAAGTTTGTGAAGCTTGACTACTGAAAATATTTGTAACTACATATAAGCACCAGACCAGTTATACCACTGTGTGGTTAACGATATTGGTGATACGAATCTACCATAGGAGCATTAGGGAGGTTGCAAGTTCCATTTAAAAGAAGCTCTAAAAGCCCACCATGAGTAAAGCATACCCTCCCAAGCCAAAAAAATTTATGGTCAAGAAGTTGTCATTGAAATGAAATGGTGGCAGATATGTCCAAGGAATAGTGCGAGGATTTGATCTCTTTATGAATCTTGAAATAGATGAATGTGTAGATGTCAACTAGTGGCAACAAAGCATTACTGGAATGGTGGTAATATCAGGCAATAGTATGATCATGTTAGAAGCCTTGGAACAAGCTTAATGACTGTTCAGCAAAGAAATCCACGTCCCCTCTCAAAGGGCCTATTTTACTATGAAGTGAAAATTGAGTCATATACTTTTCATATTAAACTTGTTAAATAAACTTTAAGTTAAAAAAAGTAATAGTCAAAAAAAATAATACTAGTGATGAGTCATGGGAAAACACAATTATTATAGGGTCTTAAGAAGGTCTCAAGTCAAATGAAATTGAATTTGGCATTAAGAAACAAAGGCCAAATTGCTGATAAAAAGGGAATACTATGAATCTGTTGTAAGACAGCAGTAACACCAGCAGCTAACATTTACTTTTAACTATCTGTCTAGCACTGATGACTGAGGATTAACCTCTTTGTACCTAAATTCTCTTATCTGTAAAATAGGAATATTCTATATCGCACAAGGTTGTATAAGGATTAAATAATAAATACAAAACCCTTGAAAGTGTGTTGCAGTAAGTGAGTGCTTAATAAATAGTACTCATTACTACTATTTGAAACAGGACAGCCAGGAACCCAGGTTGACTAGGTATTTAATCTGGAATTCAATTTCAGAGATTCGTATCTCTTATCAAAGAATGTGACCCTGACCCTATAAAGAAACACCACCACATATTGCTCTTTCTAAAGTTTGGTGTAGATGCAAATGATAGCCTAGCCCAATGTTTACTTGGACCACAGTATTCTAGGACTTCTCAAAGGCATCTTACATACTAGTCTGCAGCCTGGACACAAAAAGAGGAGAAAGTTATGTGGGTAAGGAAGAGGACAGGGTGATGCCTCAAGTTGCCTTAGAGCATGTTATATCCAAAAACAGAGAATTTGATTTTTGTAACCAAAGTACACTGAGCCCCCATCAGGGAGGTGGCAAGTCTAGTGGACTTAACGAATTGTATACTTGCTTAACTAGCTGCAGACCATTACATCTGCAAAACTTAATTAATGAAAGGTAAAGCCCATATAATGTGGAAAATGATAAATATCAACAGAACTGGCAAACAAACAGAACCAACCAGATTTACAGTACCTGTCTGCTCTGTGACATCTACTTTTGCAACATTAACCTCAAGATCTTCTCCCCATTCAGCAAAACTTTCCCATTCTGGTTGAAGATTCTGACAAGCAGGACACCAGGGAGCATAACTGAAGAAATAATAATAATAATTTAAAAAGTTAAACACTCTAATGACCATTTATCTTGGAATAAAACATAAAATGATAAAGATTTTAGACATAATATATGAAGAATTTTTATACTGAAAATGACAAAGTGGTTAATTTTGTGCAGCTAAAAAAAGTTGTAAGTGGGTCTAACGATCTAGATATTAAAAATATGAATTGATAATGTTAAGCAGAGTTTTCCCACATGCCAAACAGCTCTTCAAAAACCTTTGGAGTTTTCTATTAAAATGTGACCACCAAAAACCTCAAGTGTTTTTTGTAGTGCACCAATTTTAATTTTACACTGCAGAGTCACAAATGTAAGGTACTAGAAAAATAGGAAGTGCCCTGGTCTGTGGTACACAAGGAAACATAAGTTCTAACTTAAATCACTACTGGGAATGATTGCCACAAGACAGTCTGGCCTAGAATGGTAAAAAAAAGTTAGAGACATGCATTTTTATGTAAAAGTATTACTTAAAAACCTAACCCACACACAAATACTAACAAAGCTAAACAATACTCTTTTGGACAGACCTGGGGGCTTACACATTCTATGGCCAAGCACATTACCATTCTAATTACTTCTCTGAATTTCATTATCTTTCCAGGTCCTAACTTTGTCCTAGGATTTAATTTCTCCATTTTCTTATATATATCTTATAATCTGCCTCAGTTTATGGAACCCAAAGAATGAAACCTATACCTGTTAAGACAGAAATATATAGTTTCTATACCTGACATTTTCTTGACTTGTTTTAAGAAAATCAATCTCCTAAATAGGCATGTAAAACTAGACAAACTTGTATTACATATAAAAGCCAAACTCCTAAACAGAAAGTTGTATTACAGTGAAAACATCACTATAACAAAACTGATCAGAAATGGATTTACTGAAAACAATTTACTTGTAATTTTAACTACTTAAACTATTAGGAATAGTAACTAGATCTTTCCAGTTTGCTGTCTCTTAGTCATTTAAAGACGTTTTTAACCTCAATCTTTAGGCAATGAAAAAGAAAAAAACGCTATCCTCTATGAGTTCAGGTAGATGCTCCAATTTGGATTATTCATTATTTTGTCAGTTTTCCCTTTTAGTACATTTTCTGACTGCTGTATTTATAGTTTGACCAAGAGCTTCAAAATGTAATATTTGACTGTATTTTACATATAAATTTATAATTACTAGTGTCTAACATATTGCCTGTAATATTAAATATTTTATGGGCACAATGTAAATCAAAGGACTCATGATCATGATTCAAAAACAAATGCTGCCAAGTGGTTACAGTTCCTCTTCCCTGCAGCTTAAACAGTGCCTGCAAAATTCTTTTCTCTGAGTTGTAGATTGTATGCATACTAAACATTTTGCCCATCTTATCCTCCATAGAAATGTTCTAAGTTTTTTATTTTTTTAAGGACTCAGGAGTTACTGATTTGGTCTTGCGGGTTCTCCCTTGAGGATGTCCACTTCCTCCTGCCTCCCTAACTGACAACCCTAACTGTATCCATGAAACAGGAAAACACTCACTTAAACCTTGTTAAAGGGGGTGTTCGAACAATAATTATTGCATACTTTCTCTGGAGGCCCAAAGAAAGCAGTACAGCAATATCTGGACAGACCAACTAAGGTATTCAAGTATCTGTTTCTCATCTGTAGGGAATGTGTAGGAAATTAAATACGGTAATATAGACACAGGTGCTGAGCAGTGTCAGCAGTTAATATTCAGTAATGGTGCTTTTATCAATATGGTAGTAAGACCATTCATCGGTACAACCACCAGCACCACCAATTTAGTATCTAAAACAAAGGCAGTTTATTTCCTACCAAAGTAGAAAGATATTATTAAAGTAGAACCACCACAGAAGACACGTTTTGAACAATAATCACCTGTCGCTCTTAAAGAGATAACAATCACACTAATATATTAATTTTATATTTTAATGCAATACCACTTACAAAGGCCTAGGAATCACAATTAAGGCATTCTCTTCATTGCATACACATCCCCCCTCAAAGGAAAAATGAGAGGCGGAGTGAAAGAGAAAGAATGCACACAGGGGAAGAAAACAAGGAAATAAACATTTTCAAATAAGCCAATTTCAACTTATTCAGCATTCACAATAAAAATGTACCTAACCTATTAAACAATTAGAGAGCCCCAAATTCCATCCTAAGATATCCTAATTCCATCCATGGATATCCTAAGGATAGATAAAAGGCAAGGAGACATTTACTCAATAGCCTCTTCGGGAAAGTTTGGTGGAAAGTCTAGAAGTCTATCTGTGAGGATCATTCTAAAATAAACTATCTGGGAAGCAGTCAAACCTCACCCCACCAAATTCCATCCCCAAACCCGTTAAGAAATTTGGAGAACGCGACCTGGCACGGAATCCCTCCGGTGCACACAGCCCTATAAACGAAACTCGAGTGCAGACTTTAAAGAAACTTGATATTCCCGGGTAAGAAACGAGCAGGGCGCGAGCGGGCGGCAGATCCCTAGAGTTGGGGATGGGGGCCGCCGGGAGGCCCGCTCCACGACTGGGGGCGCGGTCCTGGGAATGGGGTGGGGGGCCTGCCTGGGGAAGGTGGGGGTGAAGCCAGGTGTGCACGCTCGAGTGAAGGCCCCCGGCCCACACCGCGGGACGACCGCCCACACTCACAATTCTATCATCCACTCTCCTTCCAGCAGCTCTGTCCAGTTCTCGTCCGTGATGACGCGCACGTCGCTCCGCCGGCCGTGGGCCCAGGGAGCCCCCCAAAACACCACCACCAAGGCCACCAAAGAAACCAGACGCCCGGAGGGCGCCATGTCGGCCGCTCGCCCACCTCAGCACGCGCAGCCGCCCCCCCTCCCCGCAGCAGCTCCCACTTCCGCCCCGGCGTCCGCTCCGCCCATGCGCAGGACGGCGCAGCGAGGCGCGCTAGCCCAGCGCAGACTCAGTGCGCATGACCGGGCCCTGGTTCCTGTGGCTAGCGGAGTGAACCGAGGGAAGCGCGCCTGTCCGTACTGCGCATGACCGACGCGGCCTCTTCTCTCTGTCTGCGGTGCCCTGCACTGTGTCCCCCGAGCAGCGCGGAAGGGGGCATGGCCCAGAGAGTGGGCGGTGCTTGGCAAGCGGACGGCTGCGCCCTTTGGCGCGAGATGATTGCATTCGTACTTAGTCAATGGGTAAGTCTATACTAAGGCAATTTCCAGTGTCCTTCAGAGTGTTCATTTATTTCTTCGAAAAATTTTGTAATAAAGTTAACGGATGTTGTTAGGCAGAATATTTATTTACTTCTGAGGATAATAGACTTGAAAAGCTGCAGGGGGAACCTTATGGGTACCCTTTATATTAAAATACGAAGTGATTAACTGAGCATGCGCATATGCTTTTTAAAAACCCTCCAGTTGTATACATTTCTAAGTGCTTTATGCACTTTCAGATATGTTATTCCTCAAAAAAAAAAAATGCAGTTGGTACAGAAACCCTAGATTAGAATTTCAAAATGGAACAAGCCACATGGGCTTGTAAGAAATACTTGAGAATTTCTCTCAAAGTTTTGGAAGTACAATGCAACCCAAAATGTGCACTTCTCCATCAATTAACGGAAAATAATTGCCATTATCCTCACCTCGCTTTCTCGCCCAACCTCACTCCATTTCCCACCTCTCCACAGAAAGGGCCTTCCAAGGCCAACAGAAACCTGCATGGAAACAAAGCCAAACACTCTGTATTGTAGCTTGACTCCCAACAGAATTCTAAAGTCACCACACATTCCTTTTTTTTTTTTTTCAAACTTGTTTTTCTTTTTTTTTTTTTTTATTGTGCTGGGTGGCAGTACATTGTGGCATTTACAAATGTTCTTACAGTGTATCAAATATATCACACTTGAATTCACCCCTCTGTCAAGGAGGTCATGAGTCCCTTTATCCCTCCCCTCTCACCATTCCTGGAATAGTTTAACAGGTGTCATTTTTCCATTTACACACATGTATACACAGTATTTGCTCCATATTCATCCTCCCATGCCCGTTCCCCACCACCTCCCTCCTCCCACTGCTTCCATCTCCCCCACCACCATGCAGAACCTGTTCCACCCTCCTATTCCCTGGTTTTGTAAATGAAAAATTAAACATTTTTGTTTGTTTAATACAGGAACAAAGGAGTTGTGACATTTCCATATATATATATATATATATATAATCCTAATTTGTTCATCTCCTCTATTTTTCTTCTACCTTTGTCCCTTTTTTATGGTAGCTTCAACAGGTCTAAAACTTCTATACCCATTCTTGTATAGAGAGTAGCACATCAACCATACTTAACTTCCTTCTTTTACGCTACCCCTCTTGTATATGACCTCCCCCTTAGCATGACCAGTTTTTCATAATATTGCTGTATTTGTATTAGGTCTGTATTCCACATATGAGAGAAAACATGCAGCTTTAGCCTTCTGAACCTGGCTAACTTCACTTAAGATGAAGTTCTCCAGTTCTATCCATTTACCTGCAAAGACAAAATTTCAGTCTTCTTTGTGGCTGAATAAAATTCCGATGTATATAAATACCACATTTCTTTAACCCATTCATCAGTAGGGGGCATCTTGGCTGTTTCCATAGCTTAGCTATTGTGAATAATACTACAATAAACAGGTGTGCCTGTGCCTTTATTGTAACATGACTTAAATTCCTTTGGTATATCCCTAGGAATGTAATTGCTGGATCATATGGCAGCTCTATTTTTAGTTTTTTTGAGGAGCCTCCTACTGTTTTCCATAGTGGTTGTACTAATTTGCATTCCCACCAGCAGTGTATAAGGGTTCCTTTTCCTCCACATCCTTGCCAACATTTGTTTGTGTTCTTGAGGGTGGCCATTCTAACAAGAGTGAAGTGGAATCTTAATGTGATTTTGATTTGTATTTCCTTTATGGCCAGGGATGGTGAGCATTTCTTACGTGTCTTTTAGCCATTTGGACTTCTTCCTTTGAAAAAGCTTTGTTCAGTTCATTTGCCTATTTCTTCATTGGGTCATTGATTTCTTTGGGAGTTTAGTTTTTTGAGCTTCCTGTATATTCTGGTTATCAATCCCTTGTCAGTTGAATATTTGAAAAAGATTTTCTCCCATTCTGTGGACAGCCTCTTTTATTTAGAGACCATTTCTTTTGTTGTGCAGAAGCTTTTAAATTTCATTTGTTCTTTGAAATGGGAGATTCAAACATGTAGATTGTTTTTGGTAATATAGCCATTTTCTCAGTATTGATTCTACTAATCCATGAGCGTGGGAGATCTTTCCATCTTCTGTAGTCTTTGATTTCTTTCTTCAGTGGTTTATAGTTTTCCTTGTAGAAGTCTTTCACATCCTTTAATAAGTTTATTCTTAGGTATTTTATTTTGCAGGGAGCTATTGTAAGTGGAATTGTTTTCCTATGTTCTTTCTCATTCTGTTAATTGTTGGTATATAAAAAGGCTACTGATTTTTGTAAATTGATTTTGTATATTATTACTTTGCTGAAGCTATTTATGGTGTCTATGAGGTTTTTTGGGGGTTTTTTGGTGGAGTTTTTCAGGTCTTTTAGGTATGAGATCTTGTAATCTGCAAATAGGGTTAGTTTGACTACTTTCTTTCCCATTCGTATTCCTTTTATTTCTTCTTCTGCCCTACTACTCTGGCTAGGAATTCCAAGACTATATTGAATAAAAGTGGAGAGAGCACCACCACACATTCCTTGAAAGGCTTTGCTGTCATGTCTTTTGAGCTGCTCACTTGGTTTTCTCCATCCTTATTAGCTGCTCCTTAGACTTGACAGATTTTCCTCTCCTTGATCTCCAGACATTGTCCTGCCCCAGGACACTAGACTGGTCCTCTACTTCTCTTCTTGTCAACACCTTCCTCTAAATAACTCAGTGCTGGCATTGAAACCCATTGTTATGCTTGTTGTTCCAGATTTGATTCTTCTGGGAATGACCAACATGTATACTCAACTCTGCAGGGCAGCTCTTGAATGTCTAATAGGCAGGTCAAACATAACAGAAAATATAATTTTTTTTTTTTGCCATACTAGGGATTGAACACAAGGCCTCATACTTGCTAGGAAGGCTCCCTAGCCTCTTGAACCATGTCCCCAAGCCGAAAACTATAATTCTTGATTCTCCCTCTGCTAGTCTTCCACCTTGAATGGGATCAGACATATAAGGAATTTATTGGGGAAGAGACCTATGAAGAACTAGAGATAAAGGAGTAAGAGCCCGCAGAGAATATTCAGACTACAATGTCATTCTGACATACGTGAAAGGATAAGGGGAAGGAGGGCATGAGAAGAGCCTTAGATCTCTGTTGGTTCTAATACAGACTCAGCCAGACAAACTGGGAGTCCAGGGTCAAAATTACTCATTAGAGGAATCCCACACCAGGAAGGAAAGGCTGGCACTGATGTACCTGCCACTTAATCATTGGAGAAAAAGAAGGCAGCATGGCCTCAGCATTCACAGTGGCAGCAGCTGGGTACCAGCTAGTGCCTTTTCATGACTGCCTCACAGTATTTCACATAGTAAATACTAATGGGTATTTCTATAAATAACTAAAGAAATAAGGATATGAGGCAGTGCTGTTCACCAGAAATCTGAGAATCACATGTAATTTTTCATTTTCTGGTAACTAAATTTTTATAAGTCAAAAAGTAAAAAATAAAGTTCTTGAAAATATCGATCTGACAGTCTCATAGCAAACTCTAAATTTTGATCATTTTCTTTTCAGTTACTCAAAAAACTTTTACTATAGTTAACAGAGAAAACTCTCAAAAAATTCCAAAACTAGAGGTGGAATTGCATAATGGTTAGCCCGTCTAAAGGTAAATCCCACATCCACCACTGGATAGCAAGATGACCGTGGTATTTTTCGTTTTTAAAAAGATCACCAATTATAAGAAGTACAGGCCACAGTGCTCCCCAAATGTCCTGGTGGCCCTCATGCCTGGTGCTAATTCTTTAGTTTCAGGGGAAGTCTCTCCATAAGGAAGTAGGGGGGAGAGAAAAAGCCAGAATGGCTGCAGCCGCTGGGGGCTTCCTGGAGCAGAGGGTGTAAGTAATTTCAGGTAGTAGCTATTTACCAAACATCATGGAAGTATTTTAATATTTTAACTGTCATGGCTTGACTGTCACAGCGTGACTGATTGTAGATCCATGCAAGGGTTGTTCCTCTGAGATTTTTCTGGTTTTGATTTATTTCTTTAAGTTTAGGGCAAGGAGCTATAGCTTTTTGTGACCTAGCTTTGCTGCTGCTTCTTACCATGAAAGCTGTCAATGCTATTAAATTTGAGTTACTTACTCAAACAGACTAGCTCTCTTAACTAATCAGCTACCACTGTTGATTCTAACTCCTTCTAAAAATGTTTTTATTACTATATGATAGTTATTTGGGAGGTTTCATTGTGATATTTCTGTATATACATATATTGTACCCTGGTTTGTTTCATCTTCTCCATTATTCTTCCTCTTCCTCCACTCCCCTTCTTTAATTTTTTTTTTTTTTTGTGGTGCACTGGGGTTTGAACTCAGGGCCTCATACTTGCTAGACAGGTGCTCTTTCTTCTTGAGCCACTTTACCAGCACCCTCCCCCCCACACTCTCACCTTCTTAAAAAGACTTCTATAGGTTTCAATGTTCCATATTCATACATGTATAGAAACTAAAGCAACCATATTCACCCTCCTTTCCTCTCTTCATTTATCCTCCCCATCCCACTGATACCCTCCCATTACCATGACCTGCTTTAAGTTTCTGACTTTCATTGTTTTAGTGTCTGTTCATTGTTCAGTGGGGATTTTGCCTTGGTATTTTACTTGTAACTATAGTGCTTAAATCAGTCTCGCCCCCCTC